TAGGGAACTCAACTTAATCTTGATGTCCTTGCAAAATTCATCTTTGCTCACAAAAAACTACCACAATAAGAGTCTTTTTCTCTACTACTCCTCGCCATCGATCCCCTTTGTCTTCGCCTCAATATCTCTGCTATTCCTTCACTACCTTCTTTGTCCTCTCATTTTGTTCTTTTCCGAACTTGGTGGTGTTGCTTTCGTTTGGCATGGTTTCGCCGCTGATGGAACAATAGGACATGATGTAGCTTTTGCTTGGCTGGATTTCACTATCTAATCTGGTTTTGGGCTCGTCGATTGGCAATCGTTGAGTCGTAAACGGGACAAAATAGCCGTAGATGGTGAAGGGAGAAGAAAAGAGGGAAGAAAAGAAGAAGATGAACAAGAAAAAGGTGTTCCCAGTCTAGTTTGTTAATTGGTTTTGGGCATCAAAATGGGTATATAAGCTCCATCAAATGGGTATAAACTTTAGCTGGGTTTCACTCTTGCTATTGGCCCCATGTTCTATTATTGGAATAAGAATTTGCAGAAGATGCTTGGTGAGAGATTGGGGGCATGTTTGGTAAATTCAAAGGATTATGAAGCTTAATTTAAAATTTTCATTGATTATTGTTTTTTTAATCTAAATTTGATGAGGTGGAGTGAGTGAATGGTCAAGGAGGGCCCTCTTAATGAGGCCAACGTTAATTTTAATGGAATAATGTATAGAAGGACTTTTTTGCCACCGACAATGAGTGTGAGGGTTAGTTTGCGGATGAATCTAGTTGAGGGGGTGATTTCCACCATACGAGAAGTTAAAGGGGTAATTTGTATGTTTTGCCAAGATGTGGAACATTAATGGTGCAGTGAAACAAAAATATGCGTTGGAGTACAGACAGTGAGAAGATCAAGAAGGTACGTGCATATCAAACTTAAGCTAGAATCTACCATTTACATTGCGTAGCTATTCTTTAAGTACATCACAAAATGCAAGGCGTGAGTGACATTCCTATCCCAATTCATCATTGAATTTACTAATCCTTACAACATTTTCCACAGCCAATATTAAATTAAAAGATTCTAAACTCATTTTATTCTGTAAGCATGATGTCCTCATTCTATTTTAATTTTGAAATATGATAGGGTTTGGTTAAATTTTAAAAGATATTTGTTTTAAAAATAAATTTTGTTTTATAAATTTAAAATTTTCTTGAGAGAAAATCTAAAAATTAATTTTAAAGTAAATTTTCAGTAAATTTTTTTTAAAAAATTATATTGGTAACTTTCTCAAAATTTATTTAAAAATCAATTTAAAAATTAATTTTAAAGTTTTCTTTTAACAAATTTTTAAGTTTACAAGAAAAATTTTATTTTTAAATAAATTACTTTTTAAAATTTATCAAACACTCTCTATGATATAACTCATATTTAACAGCTGATGAAGATGTTCATGCAATCTTTAAAAGTTTAAATTCAAATCGTTAATATTAGGTGGATTTGATCTTATATCATTTACACTTTCTCCACTGTAAGAATATTGTGGGCATCACAGATTCAGTTTAAGCAGCATACTGGATAGGATATAGAAGTTGGGGACTCCACAAGTTGATAAGAACCTGATTGGAAGAGAGATGACTGGTTGAAAGTTGCTTAAAAAGCACTAGATTTCTCAAAACGTTAAAAGAAAGATGTGGACCGATCAAATTTATTTAGACCAAGACCACCACCCCCACTAGAACTTGTTTTTATAATTAGGCAAAGGTGCATGTGATATCTTCACTTTTACAATCCACATCTTCACACCAAGTTTCCAGGGGCCTACCCGGATTGCTTTCTTGACAGGGAAAGGAAATCGATTCCAATTACAAAAGGAAAGGGAAAGGAAAAAGGAAAAAGGGGGTTTGAGCTTTGAAGAAAAAAGTTCATATGGGAAGGATTTGAATTAAGAAGAACCATAGATAGAGGAGGAGGAGGTGATGATGATGATGAAAATCTGTAGCCCTGAGAATCCCAGCAGTACTACTGAAACGATTCCTCGAGAATTCATCACCACCACCACTTGCCCCAGCTGGAAACTTTACGAGAATCCATTTTATTATTCTCAACATCATCAGCAATGCCACAGCAGTAACAAGCATCCTCATCCTCACCATCTTCATCTCCCTCTTTCGAGCCGTAAAATTGCTGCTTCTTTTTGGGATCTTACTTTCTTCAAACCGGTTATGGAGACAGAACTGGATATCGCTCGAGCCCAGATCATGGAGTTGAAGGCTGAGCTGGAATTCGAGCGAAAGGCACGGAAAAAGGCAGAGTCGGTGAGTAAGAAATTGGTTAAGGAGTTGGCCGAGGAGAGGAGAGGGAGGGAAGCGATGGAGAGAGTATGTGAAAAGCTGGCGAGGGAGATTTTATCGGAAAAAACAGAGGTTGATAGGATGAAGAGGGAAATGGAGGAGGAGAGGAAGATGATGCGGATGGCTGAAGTTTTGAGAGAGGAGAGAGTTCAAATGAAGCTGGCGGAGGCGAAGATCCTGTTGGAGGAGAAGCTGTTTGAATTGGAGGAAACTAAGCGGCCGATGACAGACCCTGATTGTTCTGCTTCCAGAACAAAGCAAAAGAATCAAGAAGATAAACCACCAGGGGTGGCGGCGATGGCCGCCGCTAATCTATCAGGAAAATTTTCGAGGTTGGTTTTGGGTGAAAAATCTTCTTGTGAAAATACAGATGACTCTGATACAAGAGAATCAACAAGGGTGATATTGGGGGAGAAGAACTCATCCTGTAATGAAAATGTCAGCAGTGGTACGGGTGGCAACTCTTCATCTGGAATTCACCGAAGAGCATCTCTGGAACCGGAGAATCCCCACATAAAGCGAGGGATCAAAGGGTTCGTAGAGTTCCCAAGAGTGGTTCGAGCAATGGGATCCAAGAGTAGACATTGGGGTTCAAAGTTGGAGTGCCAAAAGGCTCAGCTTAGGATTCTTCTGAAACAGAAGAGTCCCATCAGGTCGAATAATCTAATAATGAGTTGAACATCTTAGTTTTTCTTAGTAGTTTAATTATGAAATCTCTGAATTTTCTCATTTCCTTCTTGATTTGATTTTGGCTGTGGGTTTCTTGTTTTAGTCCAAAGTTCTTGTTCTTTGAAGAATAGAAGAAGACAGTAAATATGTATGGAATGATTTTGTGATTGCTGAATGATGTACATGAATTGTTTGAGTTTGCCAATGTTTTTAGGCTTTGAAATGGGTATTTTTGGATGTGTTTAAAGGTTCTTGATTTGGGACAGTTGCGCACATGCTTGACTTAATTGCAACAATAACTAGGGCAGAATCGATGAACAATATTAGGGGCAGATCACATGCACATTAAAACTGTTATTTCAAGTAAAAGCGAGACCTTTTAGTTCAAAAAATCACTTTAATTATAAGTACCATCAAGAATTAAAGCTTCGGTGTGGGAATGCAGTATTGTATTGTAATTTTAGGTTTTTTTTATTATTATTATAAAAATATATAAATTATTGATTAAAATTATTTATAATATATACAATATTAAGTAAAAGCGAGACCTTTTAGTTCAAAAAATCACTTTAATTATAAGTACCATCAAGAATTAAAGCTTCGGTGTGGGAATGCAGTATTGTATTATAATTTTAGGTTTTTTTATTATTATTATAAAAATATATAAATTATTGATTAAAATTATTTATAATATATACAATATTA